ATACAAAGACGAACTAAAATTTGAAAAATACTTGGATATTCTATCCCGAAAAGATGCCATTAATTTCTGCAAATTTCGTACTTGTAATCATCATTTACCGATTGAAAGTGGACGCTGGCTAAATGAACCAAGAGAAACGAGACTATGTAAAAAATGTAATTTAAATGAAATAGGCGATGAATTCCATTACATATTAAACTGCACGTCAGTGATACACGAAAGAAATAAATGCTTATCGCAAAAACAATTACGGTTTAAAAATACAATTACATTCAGAGAAGTAAAGAATTCAGAAAAACAATCCTTTTTAAGAAAACTGTGTACATTTATCAGAAAAATTACTAAAACGTGCTCCCCGAATTAGTAATTATTTGTCATCATTGTTTACATTTATATCTCTGTATACAATTGTAAAATTGTGAAGAGATTAATAAATTCAGACAGACAAAAAGGGTTTCTGCAAAACCTTTAAAACTAATGATCCACCGCTCAGAACTGTTGCCATCTCAAATCATCATCAGATCATTAATTAATTAGCGTTAACTGCACATTTTTTGAGTTTGTTCCCAATTTAAGCTATAGACTAGACTGAATTTCTTTGCAAGTAGAGTGGTGATCTTTAGAAGGTTTAAATGCTCGACTTTCATGTTATATTACTATTGCAAGTTCATAACTTTTTCAAGATGAGAATGAAAGCTCCGGAGAGAGGTAAAATTATGCACGACTGCCCCCCCCCCCTTCGAAATAACTTTTGCAGATTTTGGAAAGGAGTTGACCTTGTTTTTTTGTTGTTTTTTTTTTTTAATAATACATTTCTGGACTGGATTTTTTTTTTAGAAGTTAGCTAATTCTGGAAAAATTCATGAGATCGTTAATCAGTAAATATTAATTATATAATATTGTTAGGTCACTGCCTTTTCCACTGTTATGTTATAAATAGAATATATAGGTTAGAGAACCTTGTTTTTCATTGGATGCACTTTGATATTTGGTCACGTGTTTATTTTGGTGGGAATTTTCTGCTGTTCTTTTGTTCATATTGCCGCCATGAAAGTTGCCCTGCTGAATGTGTGTATGAGGTATATCCTTTGAATCATTTGATGTGTTCTAAATAATACACGGATTTATATAAATTCTTAGCCCAGGTCAGTCGTCTCTAAATGTATTTTATTCGCTGTTATAGCGCAAGTTTGACAGTTTTTTATTTGGTTAATTTGATATACTGAGTTAACCAGTAATATTAACACAAAACATTCAATGATTTTTCCTTGTTTAGCAGATGTACTGATATACTGAGTTAACCAGTAATATTAACACAAAACATTCAATGATTTTTCCTTGTTTAGCAGATGTACATCCAGGATGATGTGGTGAAATGGGAAATACCCAGTGGACAGTCCTCACTTTGAAGGACTTTAATAAATTAATTGAATTACAGTCTCTGGAGGAGTGCTTCTCGACCTGTAGTCCTACATGTAATGTCCTCAACAGGTAATATTCCATGGAAGTGCAAGGCAATTACAAAGTAATTTCTTAATTGAACTATAGTAGTAATTCTGGAGCAGTTACTTACTGAAATATGAAGTCAACAAACAGTAACTGAGATAATAATATAACTGTATAACTGAACTCTGTATAAGAAGTCCATTAAAATCAATAGATTTAATTTAGCCACATCAGGCTTGAATTAGCTGTATATAGTTTTATTCAGCTTTACAAAAAGCTTCATTTAGCTATTTTAATGAGCTTTTTCACAAATTACACTTTTAGTATTGGGCCAAAAATTTGCAAGGGTATGACAACTAATTAATATTTTTAGTTAGATCTTTCAAAAAGCCCTGAACCAAAAACAAAGATATTTTAAAACCATGTGTCTTTTAACATTTTAAGGAAAAGATGTAAATTTCCGCTGAGTAACTGTTCACCGTGTGTGCAGTGAGGCATGAATAAGTATGATTAATACTTCACATTGTTTAGTTTTTATTCATGTTCAGTCTTATCTTGTGAACCAAAATAGGACACTTAATAATTTCAATAACAACTACTTAATAAAGCCCAAAAACTTATAGAACTTTGATTGCAAATGCTTTCAAAGTGTGGACAGGATGCAACAGAAATACACTAGGTATATCTTATTTTCATATTACGATAACATCCAAGAGTATTTTTTTTAGCTCACCTGAGCTGAAATCTCAGTAAGCTTTTCTGATCACCAGTTGTCCAGTGTCTGTCCTTCTATCTTAATCTGTCTGCCATTCCTCTGTAAACTTTTCACAATTTTGACTTTTTCTCAAGAACCACTGGGCCAATTTATTCAAAGTTGACAGAAAATGTTCTTGGATAAAGGAGATTATAAATTGTTCAAATGAAGGGCCAATCCCCCCTTCCAAAGGGAGATAATCAAGGAAAAGCAATAATAGGGATGAGGTAATCAAAAATCTTCACAAGAATTAGTATTAGACAAGAAAAGATGAAATGTGGAAGCTTCCTAAAGTAGTGTGAATTCTAAATTGTTCAAAACATGGGGAGGGGGACGATAGGGGATCTTAGTTTTACATTGAAATGTATAGGGAAAATCTTTAAAAAATTTCTTAAGAGCATAGAATGCCCTAAATTTAAGGAAAATTGGAATTTTGATCATTATATAGCTTCTATATTTTGTTGTTTTAAATTCAAATTAATTTGTTGACTGTGAAATTACAGGATATTTACATTAATTTTGTGGGGATTTTGTTGTTATTATTTTTTGCATTGGGTTTCAGTGCAGTTTTCAAAGTAAAGAATTAGGGCTAATGCAAAATAAAGCTGTTTTGCTCTCTTCTAATTTGAAAATTTATAATTATTGACTGTTTTTGCCTTTTTTCATTGCCTGTCTTGTAAATGCTTACAATTTCAAGCAACTTATGTATGTTATGGTATAGACAATTTTGTTTCCAGAAAACAAAAGCAGCAAATTGATATTGTATTTTTGTGATGTTCGTGCAATTTCCACCTATTGTTACTTCCACAAAATTTAAACTTGCTTGTCAAAAGTGGGGAGAGGGGCATTCGTGTCATATCCAGTTTTACACAAGAGCAACAAATTATCCATGATTAGTCATACTTATACAGATGTAGATAGTGTAGAATCAAATTTGTTTAATCCATAACTCCTGGGAATAAGATGGGGCTACAATATATGATGAAAGTTTTAAAAAGGTGCAGATGGAGAACAGTAGCGCCATAGTAACTCAGGTGAGCAATGTGGCCCATGGGCCGTTGAATATTTCTTGCCTCTCAGGCCAACAAAAAATACTACTTTTTAAATGTCTTTCACCATCAACCTGGTCATTGTAGAATAATGAATAATAAGTTATTAACTTCGCATAATTCCTGGCAATATTTACATTGGAGGCTCATTCTTTATGACTTTAGGGTCAATTCTGATGAGGAATCAAGATCAATAGAGAAATCTCAAAGTTATGGTAGCATTTAAATTTCCAAACCTTTTATAATTTAGACACTTGTATATTAATTTAACAGGTAACACATACAGATGGTTTTTATGGTTTGAGAATATGTCTGGAACTCTTAATCAGATTGCTTTTACTTAAGTCAAAGTTACAGAAACAAAATGATGAATTGAAGTGGTGATAATTCTATACTTATTATTTTGTAAATTATAACTCTTATGTGTTTTAATTCTGTTAATATACTTTGGAAAATTTCTCAGTATATTCAATTTACTAATCAATACTTTATACTGAAGTAGATATAGATGAAATTATAATGAATGGAAAATTTTTATTGAACACAGATAATCACAATATTGTTTTTTCTTGGCTTTCTCTTGCATTACCAAAATGTGTCTGGAAAAACATTTAATCTCATTCATTTTTCTCAGACATGTACTTGATACAAGTATATATGTACCAGCTATACAAAAAATGTTGTGTCATTTTGGCCTTTATTCACAAACTGGACATTAAAATTCATGGGAAATGAAAATTTGTCCTTTATTTTGATCAAATTGTTTACCAGAAACGGCCATTTTTCTCGCTCTCAAAACACTGGAATCAATAATGTGTGACTGACTGTGCTTAGTTAACAAAACATAGGAATTAAAGGTGTCAAACATTTCCCACAAAATATTTAGTATCTTTATTACCTTGCAGTTAACAAAATTACTGCTGCTCTTTTGCAACAAAATTAAGAAAGCTCTAAATCTCATGTCGCTATGCTATCCCTAATGTAGATTTTCCGTAAGATCCGTGGAATTCCATAACAAATTCCGTGGAATTCCATGGAAAAAGTGTTCCATGGAATTCCAAGGAATTCTCGAGAGTATTGGGACGGAACTTTTTCGGAATGGTATGGAATTTCAAATCTAGCCTGGAAAAGAGCGGAACAATGCCAGAATAGAAATTTGCGGAAATAGCTGGAAATCCATGGAATTCCAGGATATTTGGAAATCTATGGAATTCCACGGAAATCCAAGGAATTCCAGGAAAATACAAAAAACTGGAATAATCAAAATAATTTGAGGGCCAAATAATTACAACAAAAATGATAACATCACAATTTTTCATCAATCAAATCTATATTTTCAAAATAAAAAAATTATTTTTGCTTCTATGTATAATGTAAGCACATATTTTAAAAAGTATTACCACTGAAAGTATTTTACATCAAAGGTTATTTAAACAATGTTAAAAATCCACAGAAAAATATCATTACTGGATGATCACCTTGGTTCAATTAATGAGAATTATTATAATATACATGCATGTACATGTAGTAAATTACAGTCTGCATGAGAAACAAATGACTTTTGGTTAAAGAAAATCCTTTGTACCTAATCTCAAACATATGACATTTTTTTGATAATAAAACAAAATAGATTTTTAAAAAACCCATTAATTATGACCTTTTGCTTCATTAAATGACCTTGGGAAAGGTCACTAAAGCCTTAACAGGGTATATTTGCAACATTTGTATACATGCAGTTACATTGATCTTCCAGTGGTCCATATACATTTACCATACAAAGTTAATGACTAGAGTGACAAACATAGGTATTAAGTACACAAATATCTACTACACAACTATATTTGGAAGATCCCATAAAATCAACACATGCTATTTTTTCCCCCAACATGCCCCAAGATCCTACTTCTGAAGTGTTGGCTAGAATCACTTCCTCACTGTTCTGCTAGAGGGTGGTCAGATAATTGGTGTCACGAATGGATTCACTTTTGGTATGACGGCTTCAAAAGCTCAGCAAGTTTGATGTTGATCATTCCCACACTTCAAACTTTTCTTGCTCAATTTCTGAAAGAAAAGATTACCATAAAGATGTATGATATCTACAAATTGTTGATATCCAATGGAAGGCCTTCTCACAAGGAAACACCTAATGAAGTATGAAAGCCAAACCTGAATCCCCTTCACTCAAGGATGTTTTGTGACAAGTTTGGTTGATCCTATGGTTCTGAGAAGTCAAAAATGTAACACCAGACACTGATCAGAAAACTCACTTGAGCCTTGAGCTCAGGTGAGCTAAAAAGAAAAGGTTAGAACTAAAGTGTATAAATAAAGAGACATGATTGTGTCTAAGTTAATTAACCTTGAATATGAGAGAGAACATTGTAAATTACATAAACTATGTACCCTTAAAAACATTCAGCAAATAAAGTTAAGGTATGAAAAAAAGTACATGCACATTAGTAAATATAATTTATATACCATATAAAACATTCAGTTTTGCCTTGTCAATGGGTCGTCTTTTGACTCTTAAGCTTCTGATTAAAAGCACCCTGAACAGGAGTTTGGACGCCTATGCTGCCTTTGATATATTTATCCTCCATATTTGCAAAATCTGTTAACTGACCCTTGAAAAGAGGAAAAGACGAATTTATATGCATATGTAGTTGCTTTAAATGCATATTGGCATATTTACAATGTAACAAAAATATAGACAAAGCAAATAACATAAAGTGAATATATAGAATACATTTGTTCTACTGGCTTCAAACATGCAAATACATGTACATATTTTTTTTGAAAAATTAAGGAAATATTAAATAAACTGTTATAAATACATGTAACTTCCATGCATCAACAATTCAGTATTGAAATTAAAAAAAATATTTGAAAGAGTGATGTCTAATGTTTATAATAACTGGCTAACATTGATAAACACATAATTTCAATTCTTTTGATTTTATTGATTAGGAAAATGATTAAAAAATCTGACCTTTGTGTAAATTTCCATACAGCTCTGAGCTCTTGTCCTTTTTGTGAGCATTCCTGTAAATAATGCATGCATAATTTTATGTCATAGAGTACGTATAGTCATTTTTAATATTTCAGGGATAGACATTTAACTTTCAAACTTTGACTTGTCCAAATGCAAAACTTGGTTGCCCACAATTAGGAAAGAATTTAAGAAGAAAATTATTAATTACTGTAAACATTATGATAAGAAAAAAAAGAGGCTGCCGACATTGAGCATGGAAGAGAATTCCATAATATCACTGCAGGGGGGGGGGGGGGGAGCTTTATTTAAATTATCTGTGCACTAAAGGTGTGAAAGTAAGGAATGCCTTTGTTGGTGGTACTGTGAAACTAAATAGAGGCTTGGGTCTACCGCAACTAAGCTGTGCACAACTTTATATCATATAGAGCATTATTAGTCTACCACGTTTCTTCTGCCTTGTAAACATGGTAAAAATAGCCAATTTAAATGTTGCATCATGTTGGAGACACTAATAGTGTTATGATGTGTGTGTACGATGTAACATGGACTGTGGTGGCGCAATTGGCAACGTGCCACTCGCATATATAGCGAGGTCTAAGGCATGTACGAACGGGAGGAAATTCGGGTTGAAATCCACACATAATGACATTGTTCTATGAGGCGCCGTTTTGGTATTTACTGCCAAAAAGTGAGATCACCTATTCAAATAGGTGATATCACCTATTCAATTGGTGATATCACCTATTCGAATAAGTGATATCACCTATTCAGCTTCTGAATAGGTGATATCACCTATTCGAATAGGTGATATCACCTATTCGAATAAATGATATCACCTATTCGAATAGGTGATATCACCTATTCAATTTGAATGAGTGATATCACCTATTCGAATAGGTGATATCACCTATTCGAATAGGTGATATCACTTATTCGAATAGGTGATATCACTTATTCGAATAGGTGATATCACTTATTCCTTTTGAATAGGTGATATCACTTATTTGAATAGGTGATATCACCTATTCAAATCAAATAGGTGATATCACCTATTCGAATAGGTGATATCACTTATTCGAATAGGTGATATCACTTAATCATTTTGAATAGGTGATATCACTTATTCGAATAGGTGATATCACCCATTCAAATTATTTATGAAATAACAACTGCTCCCAAGACTATAGCCTTTAATTCTCATTTACTTTCACTTTCGTTTTATAACTTACCATTCTTGCAGACAATGGATTACAGCTTCGCATTTAGTTTTAAGCAGCCCAGTAGAATTTGTAGTTTGTTTTGCTCACAAATTATATTTATTACACTTATCTATCATGTATACTATAGGAAAATTCAAAGGGTCTGTAAGTCTCGTTGACTTTCACTTTCGTTTTATAACTCCCGGGTATCTGAGCGTTCTTGGAGACAATGGATTACTTTAAAAGTTGTAAGCATCGCAGTGGAATTATTAAACTTGTAGTTTGTTTTGATTCCCGATTGTTGCAAAGAAGAGGAGAAAATGGATTGATAGATGCAGGTAAATAGCGTTTAATTGCTTTATTTTTTCATTACATAACGTAAACACAAGCTATTCCGAGGGGGCCAAGATTAGCCAACATACTTAAGCATAAAGGGAAAATTAAATCGTTTTTATTCTAAAATCGTGTGTATTCAAAAGGTACGCTTATCTACAGATTGGTTTCATAAATTTAAAGCATTGATTTAGCTTACAATATGGTATAATTTGGAGTATTGGACAGGTATACATGAGATTGGGATATTGAATGCGATGTCATTGAAAGCAAATAAAAAAATAGATGTACCCAAATGCATCGACCATGGGAATACAAAGTTGAATACCACGTCGATAACATATGATCTTTGTAGAAAACACATTTTTTTTTAATTTAATTACTACAATAAATAAAAATGGTCAGCTCAAAATTGGTCATTCTGTAGGCTACCCTGTCTATTCAGAAATAAAAATGGTCACATACACTCAAAAAATAATTATTTTTTATTCTACAAAGAAGAAGGCATTTTTTTCATTTACACATACAAACTGTATTAACTGCCAAGTTTCATGACCACCCCCCCCCCCTTTTCCAATACTTCTACAATTATGAGACAGACTTTTTTTTTCTTGAAATAGGCATTTTTCTCCATTTGTCATAACATATTACAGGGCTGCACAAGGTACTGAAAAAGGGACAGCGCTTTGAGTGAATGTGTTATCCATGTATCTGCAAATGAAGCAGATCCCCCAGTTATTATACTCATGGAGAGTGTAACAACTTCCAACTTGTTAATGACGGAACTCCATTTAAATCAGGTACAAGTTAAAGTTTAGGCTGCACAATTCTTTATTACAATATTCAAAACTTAATAATTCAGGATCAAGTTCACACAAGCTCACATTCCATGGTTACTTACAACACCATTATGCTAGGTAAATTTGTTATACACTTTCATGTTAAATAGTCAAATTTGATTGGTTTAAAAAACATTTGTTAACAAGTACTATTACCATACTGCATGCCAGACATTACATCCCAATGGTTGAAAATGCATGACTACGGGTAACAGTATATATAGTAATAAAAAATGTTAACTGTGCAGAATGTTTGCACGTTCGTTTCACCTTGTTGTTTTCTTTAAAATGCATTCTATAACAAGAAAAATATTACCTGTTTATTTTGGGTGATGTGAAATTCTTACCCCTTAAAAACCATTGCTGACCGAGGCGAGGTCAGCGATGGTTTTTGTGGTATAACAATTTCACGTTATCCTACTAAACATGTAATATTTTCATGTTATATGTACTTCTATTTGTAAATGTTAATGACTGTGAAAAACATAAATATTTATAAATTAGTAAAATCAATTTAATACACTATGAATACACAAAAGGACAAATTTGTACATAATTCTCTATGATTTGGTTAATTAGTTTATATAAAGGATGTAAATGGACATGACATATCATTGTTAATATTCAAGAAAGTGTTCACTGTTTTTCTTGTAGATGCTCCTTTCCATCTGATGTTTTCCAGGTTTTTGTGAAAAGTTTTCTTAAAAATGGCACCATTCAACTACAAATACTATGCCAGTGGAACTGTGATATCAATCAACTGCTTATGACACTATTAATTGGCAGAGAATTTATTTTTTTTTATTTGGGACAAGCAATCTGTTTCAAACATTTTATACCTGCAAATTGGTACATGTACTTCATGAAATGCTTGAAGGATGCTAAAGGCTACTGAAATTCCAAGCCAGATGAAATTCAAAAGGATTGATACAAAAGTCATTTGAAGTTTTCTATTCTTAGTGATGAGTGTTTTTCAGGATGCCCTCTGATATCATAGGTACAACTGGTCACTGTCCTTTGTTAGTTACACATGCAGACAACTTATTAAGGCAGTGATATAAGTAGCTCGAAGTGATGCTTTATTGTTTTCCTCAGATTTATAACCTGGATTGATCTCTGATGCAGTAATTTAAAGCCATGTCTTTTCACTGTCACAAAGTACTGAAATAAAAATAATTTTGATTAAAATATTTCTTTTAATTCACATCATTAAATTTTTAAGCTACAGAAATTCAAATTAATTACCTATTAGTAAATAGAAATCTTTAATTGATTAGCAAGCCTTTGCATTGTCAGATCCTTTTCTGAAAGGGCCATTTACCTTTAACAATGTCAGGACAGGTGAGGCAACTGGCTGGTCTTCATGCTGGAAGTGTGTGTTAACTCTGTAATCTTTTTAAACAAAACCATCCAGTGATGTCCTAAGATTGCCAGATGAGCAGACATATACCTGTATTTAAGAAAGATTCTGTAACATGACATAGAATTTTTGCACAGCTTGACGCACAACTGATGGTATCTTAGGTGCCTGCAAAATAATAAATCTGGCACATATTTATTTATTTGATACAAATCAGAACAAAATTTGTCCTTTTACAGAACAAATTATTTTCATTTTAAAGAAAAGAGAAATGCATATGTACTGTTTTAATACATATAACCTGTATTATTGGATATTTTCACCCCATTCTAATTTTTAAAATATTCACTCTTTCACCCTTGAAAACAATTTTGCCCTTTTAAAATTTGATCAGACACATTTGTGTTTAAAAGATATATGCTGCCTTCTTCGAATTTGTCCCGTTTTAAATTCACCTACTTGTAAGGAGGGCAGAATGAGAAAAATAAAACTTAACTGGGGCGAAAAATTTCCAGAACAAAGTACCATTACTTGCCTGCCTGTTGTACTATAACTCGATCCTCCAACCTTACAATATTCTATAATCATTGCTTTCATGCGATACCCCCCAGTGGATTGATGGTCTCTTTTCCAAATTATATGCACTTTCTAAAAAGAATGAATTTGTCAATTTATAAAATTTAGTATTACAAGTTAATAAAGACAGTAAAACAATGTTAACAACATTTATATGCAAATGAACCTCTGTACAAATCACTTATAAATGATTGACAACTTGTATGGAATATATCGAATACCCTTAATTTTGACATTTGGAAACCCAGCGTTAAGGCCAAACAAAAAATATGTGTGGTTCTGGTTACACCTCCAAAAAAAATAGGGAAGGTGGGTAGGGATTTTTTTTTTTTTTTTTTTTTTTTTTTAACAAAATGATTTTCTAAATTTTTCCAAATAATACCTATTTCTTTTCGTTAGCATAAGTGAACTATTTTATGTGTAGAGTGTTAGATATGTTTTCTCTTAAGCATATGGATTAGATATGTGCTTTAATGTGTGAATAAAATGTATTGGGTATTTAAACAGTTGTTTGCTGATTCTATTCATTCAAGTTCATACTCATCCAGAAAATACAATGTTTGAAGAAAATCAGCATGAGCAAATTGAATTATTTAACTGTTATTTGGATATTATATTTTCTTTTTTTAGAATGTTAAGTTTTTACGAAGATGATAAGTGCTGTCCTTGTTTTTAAAGGATGATATTAATTTCAGAATTGTATATTATAAGTAAAATTAATGGATATCTTAAGCATTATACATTAAATCTTAAATATAGATCATGATTTCTCCATCGGAATCTGCTGCGGAAGTCTTAAACTTTATACAGGTATATAAAATCTAAAATTGTATATTATAGAATGCGAAAAAACAGAAATATTTTGTGAAGAGCTGAGTATATAAATCATAACTAATAAATGTTTTGTTTATTTTGAATTCAGTCTTTTCCAACTATGGTTCAGAAAAGAAATGTTTTATTTGTGGATGAACAGAGTGAAGGAGAAAATAAGTGGCATTTCGATGTGGCGTGAAATATACTAGTCAACATTGGTAGGGGGCACCCTAGTTATGAATATGAAACAAATATTTTTAAATCAACAAGATGTGTTTGTGAAACACTGATGCCCCCATATGGCATCTTATGGCGAAGGTTAAAGTTTCTCAAATGCAAGTCAAAATCCAGGCCAAAAGATAAAAAATGTTAAATTTGAAAGCCCTAGCTGCAACTGTTCAAAAGTTATGGCAAAGGTTAAAGTTTTTTAAAAGTAAGTAAAACATCACGGTCAAGGTCAAAGTTGTTGGTATCCAAAGAAAGGTCTTGTTACAAGGATTACATATGTGAAGTATGAAAGCCCTAGCTCCAACCATTCAAAAGTTATGGCCAAGGTTAAAGTTTTTCAAAAGTAGGTCAAACGCTAAGGTCAAGGTCAAAAGGTCATAGTTGTTGGTATTCAAAGAAAGGCCTTGTCACAAAGAATACACATGTGAAGTTCGAAACCCCAAGCACCAACTGTTCAGAAGTTATGGTCAAGGTTAAAGTCTCATAAAATTTTGCAAAAGTGGGTCAAACTCCAACGTCAAGGTCAAAAGGTCAAATATGATGGTACCCAAAGAAAGGTCTTGTCACAAAGAATACACATGTGAAATATGAAAGTCATAGCTCCAACCAATCAAAAGTTATGGGCAAGGTTAAAATTGACAACAGACAGATAGATAAACAGACAAACAGATAAACAGACAAACAGACAGACAGGACAAAAACAATATACCCTCAGGATCTTTCGATCCAGGGGCATAAAAATAATGAAAACACAATCTTTTCTTTTTGTAAAAAATAAAGTCCAAGGTGAACATCCTTTTGCTTAAAATCAGTGTTTATAAATGAAATTAATTACTTTTATCCAGAATAGTTCTTATTTTACTTAATAATAAATTTTGAACGATAAACTTTTAAGAGCTGTCAGAGGAAAAGAATGTGACACCTATACTTTGTACAGTAATGTTTAAAACAAAATAAATCACCTAAGCAAGATGACATAGAATGATTCAAATTCGTCAGAATTACAAATATTTAATATTATTAAAATTTTAAATCCTTTCATGAAACCTTTTTGCCTCATTGAAAACTTCATACTTCCAAGCTCATTTCTCATATATATTGGTGTTTTGCAAGTTGACTTTATTCAGGTGAAATCAGCAGTCTTCTTTTTCACGTTTCCTCATGAATTGTTTTTTTTTTCTACTTTCGGTTTAAAAGAAACGATCCTGATATAAATTTTTTAATAATTTACAAGTTAATCTATCTTACACATTGGGCTAATTCTTGCATAATCAATGCAATCAAATAAATGTTTTCTCATGTTATCTTCCCTCTAACTCCAAAAAACGTTACCTGGCCAGCTGTCTGTGTGCTTTCAAGCGAGAAGTGATTTCCTATCCTGACTTCACACCTTTGCGTGCATTAATAATAAAGGGACTAATCAGCATGCACTTGTTATAAACCAGCTGTAAACAGAGCAACTAATTGAATCTCGCCACTCTTGGGCATATTTATTTAATTTTGGCAACCATAAAACAAACAAACAAAAAACATGGCGTTGGAAAAAGGTATACTGCTGCGCCATGCTAGCTTGCTTTAGATTTAACACCATCAAACACTTGCACTACGTGATGAAACGATTTTTGCATGGAGGTCGCCATTGCTGGAACTAAAACTAATACCGAAGTGGATGACGGCAATCACGGAAAATTCCGGAAAATAAATATGAAAATTGCCAGAAAAAAGTTAAGGGTTGGGTATCTAAAATAGCGACGGTCGGGTAACGGGAACCACACATATTTTTTTATTTGGCCAAATTATATTCCATACATGATTGAGCTGTCACCTGATGAACCTTTAATTCTTTTCTATTTTTTATATGCTTTATATGTATATGAATTATAAGAGTAAATGTAAGTCCAAAAACTTATTTTGTGACATCAATTTCATACCTGTATTTGAGTTGCCTTTTTGAGGATATACCAGGTAGATTATTCAAAGTCGATGTACATGTAGTCTTACATGCTGCAGTTCTCTTGTACTTTAGCTATAAAATAAATTTTAATGTATACAATTGTGTAAGATGAAAGAATATTTCAAACACTGAAACAGACTGAAACCTTAACAGACCAAAACTTTAACCAAAATATCCTCTTTAACATGCTCTCTAAACTGAAGAGTATGGTCATATAATTGCAGTCATATGAATTTTGTTCAATGATAAATGCAGAGAGAATTTGCAGAATATATAAAGAAAGTCTTATCGTTGGGAAATAAGCAGGTCCAGTACAATCTCTTAATTTAGCTATATAGCTTGAAATAGCTATATAGCTTTATTAAGCTATTCAAAATAGCTTAATTTAGCTATTTATATGCAGTTTTTCACAAAAATTATTTTGGTAAGAAATAGACAAAGAGTCGCATGTATTTGACCATTCATATATGTGCTATGGGCTATCGAAACAACAAGCAAAATCAAAGATATCTCCAACTTTGCAACTTTTGAATACTTTTAAGCAAAAGATAAATTTCTATTATTTGAGTAACTGTCCACTACCTTGTGTGCATTGAGGCATGGATAAGTATGATTGCTTCTCATTGTACTGAATTATTACCAATCAATTATCTTCTTGACCATAATTGGCCTCCTTTATAATTTCATTGAAGAAGTAACTGTATCAATTGCGCATGTAGCCTAAAAACTTTTAGAACTTTGAGTACAAAGTCTCTTTTGTTTCTATTTTCCTAATTATCTCCCCTTGTTTAAGGGTCACAACCCTAGTTTTAGTATAAACGGAAGCCCTTGGCCCAAGGATACCCTGTGACAAATTTGACAATAATTGGCCAAAGGGTTCTTGAGTTATGGCCCATATTCTAAAAAGTTTACGCACACCGCACAAATGGCCATAGCATTAGCTCTTTGGGCCTTTGGCTCAGAAGAGCTAAAAATGAACCTCTTACATTGATTTTTGGTTGATATTTTTTACAGTTTTTTTATGAACAATGTACAGTATTTTCACCCAAATTCCAGTATTTTGAGGACTGCTGTACAGTATTTGGGCCTAAAAATTATTACATGAATGCAAGGAGATTTTAATGAGTGAGTTTCATAATGCATCAATTTCAGATGAGTTCAAGGTTGAGTATCATCACTGCACCAAGGTGCGACTTTTTGTGCATGCTGAGAAAAGTACACATTTAAGAAAAACTGATATAAAATAGCTAAATTAAGCTATTCTGAATATAGTTAGAATAATCTAACTGTGTCTCGGGACAAGCCCTCACCACAGTTAGAATATGTCCCATATACTTGCAACGTAGCAAATCGGAGTGGATCCACTCCGATATGATTTTGAAGAATACAAAAGGAGTTGCATTGAAAATAACTACCAAATTAATCATAACAAACATTTTTGAGATTGTATATGCCTTTTAACCTACAAATTAATCCATATATATACGAAAATTCAACTCATTTTCTCAACGTTTTTTCCTCGCTTCAAATTTAACACCATGTTGACATTCGGAACTCTCTGGATTCTTCATACAAAATGCAGAGAATTCAAGTTATCGCCCGTGTTTATTTTGCTACATTGCGAATACACGGAACAAATTCTATCGTTAAACCGGGTCCGTAGGACAATATCATTTTAACGATAGAACGTTCTATCTATTCTGAATAGCTTAATAAAGCTATATAGCTAAATCAAAAGATTGTACTGGACCTGATAAGTGCTTTCAAACATTGAATACTTATAAAACTAGACCCACTGACATGCAACAGCTTAATTTCTGTTGATAAATGAAGCGTATTCTGAACAAATTATTTACCCAAACAAAGGTGATGCTGTCACAAGATGACGTTCGTACCCATCTGACACTTACACTACTCCTCCTTAATCAGCTGGTAATAACATCATTATCCTCGATTTCAAGAAAAATCTGTTAATAAATTAGTTGTAATGATGATAACAAAACTATTCTAATCAGATACAAATGTATAATATAAGACTTCTATTTCACCCAAGAATACCCAAGAAACAGGTGACATTCTCTGACTTGTTTACCTGTACTTCGATTGAAATTCTCCTCCTACTTGCTCGCACCGGTATCGGGTTCGTTCGCCCTATCTACCTGTTCGCATGAGTCCGTTCGCGCAGGGTCCGTTCGCCCTATATCTCGTTCGCCCTCATATATATACATGTATATACAGTATATAGTAAATATTATTATTTATCATCATTCATGATTTATTTTATTTTATTCAATATTTTACGACTTCGTGTTTTATATATATATTTGTATAGATTTACATAGAAAACTATACAAGCTGCTTATTTAAGCACCAAAGAAAACTTACGATTTCAAAAAATATATATCAATCCATGCATCGAATTTTTCTTGTGGTACAATATATATCTATATAAAATATTTACCGAATTTCTGTTGGTATTTAGTGTGACCATGCATACGTCTGTTTCCCATGTGCAATTTTTATTCCAATGTACATATAAAGTATTGGAAAAAATCCATTTGTTCATTATTCAATTCCTGCAATATAAATAGGGCGAACGGACCCTGGGCGAACAAGTTTCAGGGCGAACGGACTCTGGGCGAACGAGAATGAGGGCGAACGGCGTCAAGGGCGAACAAGTTTTAGGGCGAACGAACATACAACCGCTCGCACCCAAGCTTTTACGACCCTCAATTTATCCATCGTAAGTCGGAGAACCCTTCGGCTTTGTACAACTGCTTAACTTTCCTTATACGCTTTGTGTAAACCATAAACATGCATAACGCAATACACATCTTGCATCTCCATGTGTGAGGTACCCGGAAGTTAATATTATCGAAAAATCTCGCGAGTCACGTGACGAGACTTACAGACCCTAATGCAGCCCGAATTTGCTTGGTTCCAATGAAAATGTAGATAATCTTGAGGAAGGGAGCATTCATTATTTATTGTTGTAAGAAATGCAAATAGGTGATATCACCTATTCGAATTGGTGATATCACCTATTCAAATTGAATAGGTGATATCACTTATTCGAATAGGTGATATCACTTATTCGAATAGGTGATATCACCTATTCAGCACGAATAGGTGATATCACCTATTCGAATAGGTGATATCACCTATTCATTTCGAATAGGTGATATCACCTATTCGAATAAGTGATATCACCTATTCGAATAAGTGATATCACCTATTCGAATAAGTGATATCACCTATTCGAATAGGTGATATCACCTATTCAATTTGAATAGGTGATATCACTTATTCGAATAGGTGATATCACCTATTCGAATAGGTGATATCACCTATTCGAATAGGTGATATCACTTTTTGGCAGTAAATACCAAAACGGCGCCTCATATTGTTCAAACATATTTTGATAAGCGATGTTTAGAGTTGTACTGACTTGTACAATAATTATTACAGAAATGAAACTGCGCTCGCCCTAATGGTTTCACCGTCGGGCATTCTATGTGTGTGGTGCCCAGACTGAGGAACAGTAGCAGAAGCAATTATCCATTCAACTTCAAGGACACATAAAATACTGTACATTGTACCTACCGGGTCTTAAAATGTCTGCATCTTTTGTCAAAATACAAATTCCATTCCAAGCTAATGATGACAGCAGTTCCCTTCTTCGTGACACTCTCTTTCCTTCTGTCCAACAATACAACATGCCAGCCGAATTGTTGAATTTTGGCGGGCTGTTGTTTAAATTAATTGTTCATCAAGCCCGACATCGATCCCGACGTAATTGTACTATGAGCCGACAGTTTAAGAAAAAATTCCAAGTTATTTTCCACAGCTTTCCAGAGCAGAAAATGTCTAAGTTTCTCATTTTATCAGCTTTTCCATAGATTTCCACAACTTTCCAAGCCTCAAAATGTCTAAGTCCAAATTTGTTATTCAAATTCCAAAAGATTCCAAAAACTTCCAAAAACACTTTTAGACTCTTGTATGGAAATGTTTGGAATTCCATGGAATTCCAAAACTTTTCCAAACCCTTTGGAAAATCTACATTAGGGATACCACTGTGACCAGCATTGGCATTAGCATTGGCTTTTGCGTTGGTGTCAATGCTTTAGAAGCAAGCCCATTCTCAATTAACTATAAGCCTTATCTGCACCAAACTTACATGGATGTTGCATCTAGGGATGAACACTTTCAGACTTGCTTTGGATCCTGAATCTGACCTACATTTTTCAGATGGGTGACTTACTAAGGTTACAGTGTGGGGAACAGGTTCATTTCCAAGTAGCTATAAGCCTTACTGGACTTTACTTTCATGGATGATGCATCTGGTTATGTACACTACCCAACCTCTTTAGGTGATGGAACTGAACTTAATTTTTTAACTGCTACCTGAACCAAACTTAAGCATGGATGATGTATATAGGGATAGACACTACCCGACTTGCTTCAGATACTGGTTCTGACCTTTTTTCCAGATGAGTGAAAAGGTTAAAGTTTTTGGAGGAGGTCTTGCTTTGAAGCAAACTTGCATGGATATTGATCTTGGGATGCACACTAAGTAGAAAAAAAAAATTGAGTGAGATTTGCCAATACTTATAAATTTCAATTGTCAAGGTGAGTTAAAATTGTAATCTTTGATTAATTACCTCTGTTATTGATTTTTTGGGGGCAATATTTTGTACACCTATTTTTGTGCAGTTTTCTGATGAGGAATTTTCAAACTTATTTGTTAAGTTTTGACCTCATGACCTTGATCTTGAAAATTGACTTTTTTCAAAAATTATATCATTGGTTATAACAGCTAGGATGGCAATTGAATACAGAATTGCCAATTGATTACCTGCAATACATTTTAAGGATATCCGATCCTCAGCCAGGAAGAATAACTCTTAAAATTATTATTTAATTTAAAAAGTCTCAAAATGAAGCTTGAAAATGAGATCTTTTCGTGCAACAATTTTCATTTTATGCATCTCAAGATGATTCAAGGTTCTTTGAAGTCTTAGAAACGGTCTTGTTAAAATTTGACATTCGTACCCCATAAAAGAAAGAAATGAATTCTTTTTTAGCTCACTTCGACGAAGTTGAGATGAGCTTATGCTATACATCTAGCGTCGGCGTCCCGGTTAAAGTTTTAGGAGCAAGTCCCATTCCCAAGTAACTATTAGCCCTATCTGGACCAAACTTGCATGGATGATGCATCTAGGGATGGACACTACCACACTTGCTTCAGATTCTGGACCTGACCTAGATTTTCCAGATGAGTGACCAGGTTAAAGGTTTTGGAGCAGGTCCATTCCCAAATGACTATAAGCCCTACCTGGACCAAACTTGCATGGATGATGCATCTAGGGATGGACACTACCACACTTCTATGCCCGGGATCTGACCTAGATTTTCCAGATGAGTGACCAGGTTAAAGGTTTTGGAGCAGGTCCATTCCCAAATAACTATAAACTCTACCTGGACCAAACTTGCATGGATGATGCATCTAGGGATGGACACTACCACACTTCTATGGATGCTGGATCTGACCTAGATTTTCCAGATGAGTGACCAGGTTAAAGGTTTTGGAGCAGGTCCATTCCCAAATAATTGTAAGCCCTACCTGGACCAAACTTGCATGGATGATGCACCTAGAGATGGACACTACCACACTTGCTTCCGATGCTGGATCTGACCTAGATTTTCCAGATGAGTGACCAGGTTAAAGTTTTTGGAGCAGGTCCATTCCCAAGTAACTATAAGCCCTACCTGGACCAAACTTGCATCGATGATGCATCTAGGGATGGACACTACCACACTTGCTATGGATGCTTGATCTGAGCTAGATTTTCCACATGTGAGACCAGGTTTAGATTTTGGAGCAGTCCCATTCCCAAGTAACTATAAGCCCTACCTGGACCAAACGTGCATGGATGATGCATCTAGGGATGTACACTAACCAAACTGCTTTGGATGCTGGATCTGACCTAGACTTTCTAGGTCTCTAGATTAGAGTGAATTTAAGCCATATTTTAACCAAATTAGCATGGATGATGTATCTAGGGATGGACACTTCCGCGGATCACGTAAGCCGGGTTTAAACCCCAGTTGAGTCGGGTTTACTTGAGACGTACTTCTGTTGCACGCTATAAAACTGAGTAAGGCTTACCTAATCTTGACTTACTCAAATTAAACTGTTGAAGGCTAGTAAGTTTCCTAATTTTACAGCTCTTCAAACATTTTTTGATAAATCTGGTTGAATCTCGAAAGGATATATTTAAAAACAAAGATATATATTGATGGTAAATTGTTAATAAAATGCAGAAAAAATGCAATACAATTTAATTCAAACCACAGGATCTGTCATCGAAACTCAAACCATAAGAAAATATGAAATGGCAAACATAATACAGCTTTTCCAAAAGACTGAAGAGAGGAAAAACTGGGAGGGGGTCTTGGGAATAAGTAACAATAGAAACAATACCAAAACTTAAGACAGAGGTAGGAACAATGTATATATTTAAATTTTCAATTTAATATCAAATGATACCTTTTCTGTAGATATCAAGCCATTAGTACTTAGTTGTTTAGAATGTTTAGTTTGATATACAAGTAATGTAACAAAGAGATTATTTGGGCATTATTCATATAGCCAGCAATCCAGTCAAACATTCAATTCGGTACAAGTATTGATAAATGTGAGTTTGTTGTCATGTTCTCAAGGATCAGGTCGTAAGCATTTTCAGTGAGGGGGGGGGGGAGCACAGCCAAACATTTTTAGTTGTGGGACACAACCCAAATATCCTTGATAGGCAAATTAAAAATAAAACAAAACGTCATCATACGTTATTATTGAGAATGCACAATCATACATTAGCTATATTTTCTAGAGTATTCTATATATCGGCAAAATTATTAAGGCTGGGCTACTAGCTAAAACACAATACACCTGTACTCAAAAATAATGACTTGTACAAAAAGTGAGGAAAAAGCCTTACATTTGAAATCTAAGTATGAGTGTAAATGTACATGTATTTCATTTTCTTACTACAACAAAGTTGAAATGAGCATTGCTTTACCCCAGCATTGACATTGGGGTTCTGGTTAAAGTTACAGTAGCAAGTCAAAATCCAAGTAGCTTAATAAACCCTTCCTGTACCAAACTAAATTGCCACCAGGTGCATGACCAGACTTGCATGGATGATGATCTATTAGAGATGCTTGGGATGCTGGCACTGACCTAAATTTCAGGATGAGTGGCCAGAGGCAATGTTCAACAGAACGAACGTTCACGAGCGCTCGCCAAAATTCCTTATCCTTCCAACAGAAATGTTCGCAAGCGCTCACTCTGACAGTTGAACAGGCCTTAGGTTAAAGTTTTTTGGAGCAGATCTAGCCGTATTCCCAAGTAACTTCAACCCCTATGGTGACTGAACTTGTGCACAATGAGGAAGCATTTTACTTACCAGATTTGCCTCAGATGCTGGGTCTAATATGCAAGATTTTGATTGAACAAAAATTTTGGAGCAGGTTCATTCTTTAAGTAACTAAAAGGACTGTGTATCCAAATTTGTAAGACTGAATATAGCTGTCTATGATGCATCATAGGATACTCCGTACAGGCTAGATCTGACCTACATTTCTTGATAAGTGACCAGATAAAGGTTTTTGAGTAGGTACATTGCAATTTAACTATAAATTGAATCATACCTTAACCACACTTGTATGATGGATACACTTACATATGTAGGGATGCACATTCACCAGACTTGCATCAGATGCAGCATCTGACTTATCTTGATGAACTGATATACATTTTCCTGGTAACCAAAACAAAATTTTTAGCAGAACCATTCCCAAGAAACCATAAAACCTACATTGACAACATTTGCATGGATTTGCATCTATAGAATAACCCATGCACATATATCAGAACATTCTTGTTATTGGTGTGAGACTTCGTTTGATGGAAGTTAGATGACATTCATTGTGATGAAATTAAAATTAGTTCATGGAGTTGGAAATGAGATAATTGTATGCATGGTTTTAATATTTATGACTCAGTCCTTGGCAGAAATTGAGTTGGGTTGGGGGTGGTTTGTAAAGTGGTGGTGAGATATGGTAGATCATCAATTAACTTAAATTCATACAAACACCTGTACTTCTGTAAATGTCAACATCCATAAGCCAAATCATAATTAAACTACGTAAATCATCTACAACACAGAGTCAAATATAAGCTAGGCCTCTAATGAAGTATCAATGTTTATTTTCAGATTCCTACCTAATATTTAAAATATGCTGGGCATATTGGATTGGAACAGCATCCCAACAATACTGGAATGGAGGTATTTCTTAGTCATTAAGAAATAGCAGAGGTATGATCGTTTCATTATTATTTTTGGCACCCCTACTAAGTACTAACATTTCCCTTCCCTCCCCCACTCTCAGCACATCTTTTGTACAGTAAAAGTTTTTTTGTTGTGTTGTGTTTGATTTGTCTAATCTTCTCTGTTTTCTCTTTGCCGGGATCTCATCGTTGGAAATGGTGGAATAAGGACTTGGAGGCGGCTGGGCATATTGGATTGGAGATGTCGGAATAAGGACTTCTGGGCATATTGGATTGGAGATGGTGGAATAAGGACTTGGAGGCAGCTGGGCATATTGGATTGGAACAGCATCCCAACAACGCTGGAATGGAGGTATTTCTTAGTCATTAAGAAATAGCAGAGGTATGATCGTTTCATTATTATTTTTGGCACCCTTACTAAGTACTAACATTTCCCTTCCCTCCCCCACTCTCAGCACATCTTTTGTACAGTAATAGTTTTTTGTGTTGTGTTGTGTTGTGTTTGATTTGTCTAATCTTCTCTGTTTTCTCTTTGCCGGGATCTCATCATTGGAGATGGTGGAATAAGGACTTGGAGGCGGCTGGGCATATTGGATTGGAGATGGTGGAATAAGGACTTGGAGGCGGCTGGGCATATTGGATTGGAACAGCATCCCAACAACGCTGGAATGGAGGTATTTCTTAGTCATTAAGAAATAGCAGAGGTATGATCGTTTCATTATTATTTTTGGCACCCCTACTAAGTACTAACATTTCCCATCCCTCCCCCACTCTCAGCACATCTTTTGTACAGTAAAAGTTTTTTTGTTGTGTTGTGTTTGATTTGTCTAATCTTCTCTGTTTTCTCTTTACCGGGATATCATCGTTGGAAATGGTGGAATAAGGACTTGGAGGCAGCTGGGCATATTGGATTGGAGATGGTGGAATAAGGATTTGGAGGCAGCTGGGCATATTGGATTGGAACAGCATCCCAACAATACTGGAATGGAGGTATTTCTTAGTCATTAAGAAATAGCAGAGGTATGATCGTTTCATTATTATTTTTGGCACCCTTACTAAGTACTAACATTTCCCTTCCCTCCCCCACTCTCAGCACATCTTTTGTACAGTAATAGTTTTTTGTGTTGTGTTGTTTTTTGTTTGTCTAATCTTCTCTGTTTTCTCTTTGCCGGGACCTCATCGTTGGAGATGGTGGAATAAGGACTTTGAGACGGATGGGCATATTGGATTGGAACAGCATCCCAACAACGCTGGAATGGAGGTATTTCTTAGTCATTAAGAAATAGCAGAGGTATGATCGTTTCATTATTATTTTTGGCACCCCTACTAAGTACTAACATTTCCCATCCCTCCCCCACGCTCAGCACATCTTTTGTACAGTTAAAGTTTTTTTGTTGTGTTGTGTTTGATTTGTCTAATCTTCTCTGTTTTCTCTTTGCCGGGATCTCATCGTTGGAGATGGTGGAATAAGGACTTGGAGGCGGCTGGGCATATTGGATTGGAGATGGTGGAATAAGGACTTGGAGGCGGCTGGGCATATTGGATTGGAACATCATCCCAACAACGCTGGAATGGAGGTATTTCTTAGTCATTAAGAAATAGCAGAGGTATGATCGTTTCATTATTATTTTTGGCACCCTTACTAAGTACTAACATTTCCCTTCCCTCCCCCACTCTCAGCACATCTTTTGTACAGTAATAGTTTTTTGTGTTGTGTTGTTTTTTGTTTGTCTAATCTTCTCTGTTTTCTCTTTGCCGGGACCTCATCGTTGGAGATGGTGGAATAAGGACTTTGAGACGGATGGGCATATTGGATTGGAACAGCATCCCAACAACGCTGGAATGGAGGTATTTCTTAGTCATTAAGAAATAGCAGAGGTATGATCGTTTCGTTATTATTTTTGGCACCCCTACTAAGTACTAACATTTCCCATCCCTCCCCCACGCTCAGCACATCTTTTGTACAGTTAAAGTTTTTTTGTTGTGTTGTGTTTGATTTGTCTAATCTTCTCTGTTTTCTCTTTGCCGGGATCTCATCGTTGGAGATGGTGGAATAAGGACTTGGAGGCGGCTGGGCATATTGGATTGGAGATGGTGGAATAAGGACTTGGAGGCGGCTGGGCATATTGGATTGGAACATCATCCCAACAACGCTGGAATGGAGGTATTTCTTAGTCATTAAGAAATAGCAGAGGTATGATCGTTTCATTATTATTTTTGGCACCCCTACTAAGTACTAACATTTCCCTTCCCTCCCCCACTCTCAGCACATCTTTTGTACAGTAATAGTTTTTGTGTTGTGTTGTTTTTGAATTGTCTAATCTTCTCTGTTTTCTCTTTGCCGGGACCTCATCGTTGGAGATGGTGGAATAAGGACTTGGAGACGGATGGGCATATTGGATTGGAACAGCATCCCAACAACGCTGGAATGGAGGTATTTCTTAGTCATTAAGAAATAGCAGAGGTATGATCGTTTCATTATTATTTTTGGCATCCCTACTAAGTACTAACATTTCCCATCCCCCCCGCACTCTCAGCACATCTTTTGTACAGTTAAAGTTTTTTTGTTGTGTTGTGTTTGATTTGTCTAATCTTCTCTGTTTTCTCTTTGCCGGGATCTCATCGTTGGAGATGGTGGAATAAGGACTTGGAGGCGGCTGGGCATATTGGATTGGAGATGGTGGAATAAGGACTTGGAGGCGGCTGGGCATATTGGATTGGAACAGCATCCCAACAACGCTGGAATGGAGGTATTTCTTAGTCATTAAGAAATAGCAGAGGTATGATCGTTTCATTATTATTTTTGGCACCCCTACTAAGTACTAACATTTCCCTTCCCTCCCCCACTCTCAGCACATCTTTTGTACAGTAATAGTTTTTTTGTTGTGTTGTGTTGTTTTTGATTTGTCTAATCATCTCTGTTTTCTCTTTGCCGGGACCTCATCGTTGGAGATGGTGGAATAAGGACTTGGAGGCGGCTGGGCATATTGGATTGGAACAGCATGCCAACAACGCTGGAATTGATGTTTTTGTTATGTTGTTTTGTTTTTATTATGTTAATGTTAGGTTGTTTTGTTATCTTAGTTATTTGTTATAGTTCTTGCTTTGTTACTGTTGTTAGTTGTAAGTTATTTGTTTATTTTTAGATAATATTATTTATCTAATGTTTATTTTGTTAGCTTTGTTCATTATATTAGTTATTTGTTTCATTAGGGGTTTTTTGTTAGACATTTGTTAATTCAAGTTTTGTTTGTACTTTGTTATGTTGATTTGGTAAGTTAAGTATTTTGTTATAATTGTTATTTGTAAAATCTTTTTGTTGTTGTTATGATTATGTTATTTGTTATTGCTATGAGTTTTAGTTATTATTATGAGTGCTAGTTATTTGTTATTGGTATATCAGTATTAGGTATTTGTTATTGGTGTGTTGTTATGATTATGTTATTTGTTATTGTTATGAGTATAAGCTATTTGTTATTGTTATGAGTTTATTTGTTATTGTTATGAGTTTTAGTTATTTGTTATTGGTATGAGTTTTAGTTGTTTGTTATTCTTATGAGTGTTTGTTATTTGTTATTGGTATATCAGTATTAGGTAATTGTTATTGGTGTGTTGTTATGATTATGTTAATTGTTATTGTTATGAGTGTTAGTTATTTGTTATTGGTATATGAGTATTAGGTATTTGTTATTGGTGTGTCAGTATTAGTTATTTGTTATTGATATGAGTTTTAGTTATTTGTTATTGGAATGAGTTTTAGTTATTTGTTATTGTTATGTCAGTATTAGGTATTTATTATCAGTATGTCAGTATAAAGTATTTGTTATTGGTGTGTCAGTATTAGATATTTGTTATTGGTATGTATATCAGTATTAGTTATTTGTTGATGGTATCAGTATTAAGCATGTGTCTAATGTTCTTTGTTGTATTTTGCAGTGATATCTACGTTGGACATGGTGGATATAAGAGATGTGAAGTGTTGAAACGTGTTTCAGCCGAAACTTCTGGCCTGACTGAGGGCCTATTTAATTATATTTGTTCTTTTTACAGCTTTATTTTATAGTTGGGCAAAGCTTGAAAGTTGCAGAGGAATAAGCAATTTTCTTAAGAAAGATGAGGTAAAATGTAACAGAAAATACTGAATTAATTAAAAATTCGGAGCCAGAAAATAACAGCTTACATAATGCATTATTTTTGGACAATTGGAAATGTTTCAGATGAAAGTAAAATAGTCCTAATTGACTTGATCATCTTTCCAAAACAGAGAAAGTGATCCTTGATATTGTGTAGCTTTTCTCGGCAATGGCCAATGTGTAAGCTCTAGCTCTAATGGTCAGAGACTAGAAGCATAAGAAGGAGTCCCTTGTCTGTCTAGCTGTCTGTCCTTTTATAAATAACTTTTCAAAAAGCTACCTCTCTTTCAGTTTTAATTGAAAAAGACAACAGGACATGGTGGAAATGGAATATGCATGTCTGATGGACAATCAATCTCCAAGATGTGGAAACAGCAGCTGCACTCAACAGAACTTGGTGAAAACAACTGGAGAAGCAGGGTTGATGGACATTGATTTTCCAAGATTTGGAAACAGCAGCTGCCCTCAACCGGACATTGTGGAAATAACTGCAGGAGGCATGGCTGATAGATGTTGATCTTCCAAGATGTGGAAACAGCAGCTGCAGCCAACAGGACTTGGTGGAAACAATTGGAGGAGACATGCCTGATGGATGTTAACCTCCCCCCCCCCCCCCCCCCCACAAGACATTTAACAGTAGATAACTGACACTGATCAGGTATGTGACATAATCATGATCTAAGATTATCTTATTAATAAAAATTAAGTTCCAAATTACAATGGCTTCAATTCAAAATAAATCAACACAGCTACAAATAAAGTGTTATATAAAAATGAATGATACTCAGTTGTGCAATAATTTTAAGAGCCGTTTGGTTTCCAAGCTTCACAGTCTATTAAAATATACATATTTCATACACTGGTATCAGATAAATCTCATGTTTGGAAATCTCAGAAATCTGATGAATTTTCATCAGAGTTGAGGAATTTTCTAATTTTTCACATTCTTGTAGCCTCCATTTACACTTTAAATCAATCACTTACAGTTATTAAAGAGATTGAAAAAGGCACTTAAAGAATTATCTGGCAGCTTGAAAGGAGCCCTGGAAGCATGGATGATATTTTCTACAGGATAATGGATATTGACTCTGAAAGCGTGCAGATGAAGACAACAAGACATGGTGGAAACAACTGTAGGAGGCAAAACTGATGGGCAATGATCATCCAAGATGTGGATACAGCAACCACACCCAAGTGAACTTGGTGGAAACAACCACAGGAGGCAAGGCCAGTGGATGTTGAGGAAGATTGATGGATGTTGAGGCAAACCTGATTGACAATGATCCCCAAAGATGTGGAAACGGCAGCAGCTCTCAACAGGCCCCAAGACCATAAACTGAGAAAATTTCAAACTTAAATAACTTTTGAAATAATTTTGATTATGAAAAAAAATTCGACCATATGCTTGAATTTAAATGCTATACAAAACTGCTAATGTTTAAGCAATACACTAGATAAAACTCAAGATATTGAAAATAAAAATTTGACTCAAGTCCGTTCTCAGTTTATGGTCTTGGGGCGAGGACATGGTGGAAACAACTGGACGAGCAACTAATGGATGTTGATCTTCCAAGATGTGGAAACAGCAGCTGGAACCTACACAGGACTTGGTGGAAACAACTGGAGGAGACAAGCCTGATGGATGTTAACCCCCCCCCCCCCCTTTCAAGACGTATCACAGAAGATAACTGACACCGATCAGGTATGTGACATAATCATGATCCAAGATTATCTTATTATCAAAAATTAAGTTCCAAATTACAATGGCTACAATTCAGAATAAATTATCATATCTTAGCTACAAATAAAGTGTTATGTAATTGGTTTGAAATTTCCTGCATTTGACATATCGTAGTGTCTGTACAGATGTTTAGTGATAAATTTATAATTTTTTCTTTGTTTTTCACTAAAAGAATAGAGTAAGTACTGATATCAACCACCGACATACGGCAGGTGGCTTAATTTTGCTATTACATGTGCATCAGAATTTAATTCGAATTAGCTTTGCTTAGTATTCATATGGAGCTAAAGCAAAATAATTTAATAGGCAGTTAATACGAATAAAATTAATATCATTCAATTCTCCCTGTGAACGCGGTTCAAATTTAATTCGCAGTAACTTGAATTTAATTCAAATTAAACCATCTGTGTGAACAGCGCATAAATTGTGTAGCTTCTCTCGGACATGAGGAAACAATTTTTATGACCCGGATCGAAAGATCCCGGGGGTATATTGTTTTTATCCTGTTTGTCTGTCTGTTTGTCTTTTGTCTGTCTGTCTGTTGTCAACTTTAACCTAGCCCATAACTATTGCGCTGTTTGACATGAGTGTTCATTATGACAAGACCTTTCCTTGGGTGCCACCATATATGACCTTTTGACCTTGACCTTGGAGTTTGACCAAATTTTGCAAAATTTTAACAAACTTAGACGTTGGCCATAACTTTTAAACGGTTGGTGCTAGGGCTTTCATACTTCACATGTGTTATCCTTGTGACAAGACCTTCCTTTGGATACCAACCACTTTGACCCTTTAACATTGACCTTGGAGTTTGACCTACTTTTGAAAAAACTTTAACCTTTGCGATAACTTTTGAACAGTTGGTGCTAGGGCTTTCATATTTTACTTGTTTAATCCTTGTGACAAGACCTTCCTTTGGATACCAACAACTTTGACCCTTTGACCTTGGAATTTGACCAACTTTTGGAAAACTTTAACCTTGGTCATAATTTTTGAACGATTGGTGCTTCGGCTTTCATATTTCACCTGTGTATTTCTTGGGAGAAGGCCTTTCCTTTGGCACCATTAATTTTGACCATTTGACTTGACCTTGATGTTTGACATAATTTTGGAAAAATACTTTAACCTTTTCCATATCTGTTCAATGGTTGCTGCTAGGCCTTTCATATTTCACAGGCATATTCCTCGAGACAAAACCTTACTTTGGGTATCAACATATTTGATTTGCATTTGAGAAAGTTTAACCTTTGCTACAAGTTGCCATAAGGGGGGGGGGGGGCATCATTGTTTCACAAACACATCTTGTTCATATTATTTCATGTGGGATTTCCACTGTGAGAATGCCAGAAGGTTCAGGAACATATAAATAGTTTTACCAATTTCTGTGAAGCTCATAATCAGGTCAAGTACACTACCTTTTATGGAAGGTAGTTTTCATCACGTGATAATATTTTTGTCAAACCCATTGTCCAATCAATTGAATGAGTTGCAAAGCATGATGGTCTACTATGTGTTTACTATTAAATAGCTGTATGTGGTTTTTGTTGTTATAGTGCATAATATTTACTGGGAAACCTGTACAACTTAATTCTTTTTCATTTTATATGGCTGAAATTGAAAGATTATATACCAAAGACAAAATTCCATGCTCACATTGAATATTTGAGATGTATTAGATGATTAATAGTTACGTCAAATTCTGTCTAAACTCTTTGACATATGCATACATTAAATACGTTTTGAAGATAATGAAAACAAAAATTGCACACTGGTGTATTGATGTTTACCCGGTAGATCTAAGAAAAATATCCTAAATACAAGATATTACTTTTGACATACATGAATAGATATATGTAGATAAGATACACAGACTGAAAAATATGCTTTTCTTGTTGGGTTTGTCAACAAAAAGCATCTAGATTTTTTCATTACACCTAATACTCTAATGAAAATCAAAAAGAAATCATTTTTAGTTGCAAATGAGTACCATTTTTAAAATAGCATTGGAATATATGTTCATAATACTATTACAAAGAAAAAAGGCTTTGAATTTTAAGCATTCCGTAAAAGTACTTCAAGGCCCATTCAGTCAATTGATGTTTTCTCCCTTGCTCCTCAAAACCACGTGAAAAAATACTTGCTGCTTGTTCTACGCAATAGCACCTTACGTCTCTTTGAACAATAGTATACGCTGATATTTAAACAAGTTCATATTAGGTTTGATAAACCAAACTGTAAATGTGATCATAGAAATGGAAGATTACACACCATTTTCAATATCTTTTCATAAATATCAAAAAAGAATGGAAAATGAGTTTCCAATGGACAATTAATTATTAGCTTTTCATTTTCAATATGCTGCATTTGTACTAAAATTTGTAATAGCCCATAATGCATTGTGACTCATTCAGCTGATCGTTCATTTGATAAAGTATATATATAAATAGATAGCTAATTTAACATGCAAATTATGGTGATTTCAGAAAATCTGGTGGTCTCGACCTGAAAATATAGTTTCCAAGAGATAGTTGTACTTTTAAGCCCCTATATTCAATAGAAAGGACTTTAATAAAATATTGTTATGAGGTTTTGACATTATAAGGATTGCTTGGATACATTAAAACATACTTTCTGCAATGAAATGTAGTACAACAAAAAGTAATCAAATAAATGAGTTTAAAAATAAATAGAAAGATTGGCTTTTACTTGTGTGAGACTTTGAAACCAGGCAGTTAAAGACATCTTGCAATTCTTGGACATTGCTCTTGCCAGCACATGTACTATAATAAGCAGATATCTTTCTTCTTATGCAACTCCCCCCCCCCCCTTTCACCTCTCTTCCTCCCTGGCCAGTCTATCCCTCTATCTCAATTGTCACTATAATTATAAATTTTTAGTGTTTAATTTATTATATTCATAAATGATTTTTTTTTGTATGCCAATATTATAAATGTGTTTGTGACAATTGATATCAATCTTTTTAACAAGGTCAAGCACTGACTGAATTTTTAGACGGGCGGATAGCTTGAAGTCAGCAGTAGCCTAAGCTTTTATGTAATGGTGTACATTCAACCAGATATTCAAACTCTTCACACCCAAATTAAATTTTTTGCTAAGAAACATAGTGCATATACAGTCTATTAAACTATACTTTTGCAACAATTAACTCAAACACTTTAATCAAACAAAGTAAAGAAAAGTGAGGATTTCTTAAAAAAAAATATTGAACATTAATGTTTATGCATTTTCTCCCTTTTGACTTCCATTTAGGCCTGTCTGTGTCACATTCTATAAATACAGGTTGTGTTATCATGTTAACACTATATGTGACCTGATGCACACCTGGCTTGATGAAAGAAGCCAAGTAAACTTGACGTCAATCAAAGCTTGTGTCCATTGTAGCTTAATTGATAAAACATCAAATGACAGACCATAAATGCTTCAATTAACAAACTTTAGATGATGAAGGACTCAATCTCTCTAAGTATCAAATAAACAATAAAGAGGTTGTTTAATCTTTTTCAAAGCTTAAATTTCTTATTGAAACAAAGCGGGGAGTTTGAAAGCTTAATTTCTAAACGTGCATGAACTTAATGACGATCTCCGAATTTTCTTTTTTTTGCTGACATCCTAAATCAATGAGACAATCAGTATAAAAAATAAATAGTGCATGTTTTTGAGAGTAACAGTTGATTCAAATAGACACCCCACTGTCAACCTCCGCTGAAGTGTTGGTTGACATTTTTACAGGTTCTCCTTGGGGTGTCAGTAGTTTTTCTCATTTTTCTGTTTTGTTCTAGTGGATGCTATATAGCATGTGTTTCCTCTTCTTTAAAGTTTGAAGATTTGAAGACCATTCAAAGTACTGGGAATTAAGCAGATCTCATTTTGGCTTGGTTTGCTTGATGACATTATGAAGAATGGGGACCATTCAGGTATGTCAAAGTTACCTTGATTACTATTTTTTGTAATTTTTAGGTCACCTGAATCACTCAGGTGACCTATTCCTATCTGTTTGTTTGTCGTCATCCCTCATGTGTTAACATTTGAACATTTTCAGCTTCTTCTTTAGAACTGCTTATCCAGTTTCAACCAATTTTGGCAGAAGAAGATTATCTATGATTGAAGGGGAACAAAATTATGAATTTCGTGGTCCCTGGCACTCTGGGGCCATAGGGGTGGGGTTAAAATTAGTGCTATCTATAAAATTAGCTTCTTCTTTACTAAAAGCAGTCAAACTGTTGGCATGATTGTAATAAGCAATGAGCTCTGTATTAAAATTATGAAATTCATGGCCCTTAAATGAGTTAGGGATTCTGAAGTAAGGGGTGGGGTTCTAATGAACATAGTGAAAAATCATAAATTCTTTAAAATACTGTAGATCACTAAATTTTCACGAGAAAGTCATTTAATCTTAATTAGCAAGACAAAATTTTCACTAATTATGGTTATTGCTCTATAATTTAATTTTGTTTGTATTCTAGCCTCTGATTGGTTGATATCCAAAAAGGAACACAAATTATTTCTGTATAACCTGGTTTGGTATGGGGACACACCCCCCTGACAACCAGCTGAAACATCTGTATCCATACAATCCTCTCATTTCCAGTCCTCGGGATTCATGGAAAATTCCAGATTTAATAAATGTACATTTAACTTCAAACAATAATTTGATCTTACCACATGTAAACGAACAACAAGGCTGCTAGGCCTATGTATCAGTTTTTACCTCCCCTCACTTCCCATCATTTCTGTTACTTCCGTTACTATGGTTGTATTATTGAGCGGCAAATTTTAACTAATAAAAAGCAACGAAATTTTACACCCATAGTTATTTAATGATTTTAAAATTAAATTATAAGGAATGACTCTAATTCTTGGCCAAATTATTCGAGTATAACCTGGTTTGGGTCAGTTTACGCTGTTTTATAAAGCGTAAACTGACCCAAACCAGGTTATACTCAAATAATTTGGCCAAGAATTAGAGTCATTCCTAAAATATGATATCCCTAGGAATACTAATATATGCCTGAATAAAATTTTCGCAAGCACACTATCTCGCATAATTATGCGAAAATAAAGTTCTCGCAAATGAAAAGTGATTTAAAATGTATCTTCTTCTTTCCCCCTGTGTATAAAGTACAAAAATTTTTAGGGAGCACGTTCTTGAGATAATGTATGGAGAAGCAGGACAAGCTGATATTCAAATCCCAAAGCACTGATATAAATGCATTCTAGCAACAATGTTTTTCTGTTTTTAAAATCAAAAACCATTTTAAAGAACATTTTTGTAAAGGGTGTCCAAATTATAAATGGGTATGAGGTCACCCGATTCGGACACGTATGGGTTAAATCTCTGTGGTACCTAACTTCTTCCCACACTGACCCCCTTTTATCTTTCTTTTATGCGAATGAGAAAATCATAAGCTGATATATTGTTTAAAATAATACACTTGCACCTGACAGGTTGCAGAGGTGACTTCTAAGAATGGTGTGGATGAAGTTTTTCTTCAACATCGTGAAAAAAAGAAGCCTAATAGGAATTGGTGGAAAAATGTAACTGGTTGAAAATGCAATGTTGATGGACATTGACCCTCTAAGATGTGAAAATGAGCAGCTACAGCCACACAGGACTTGATGGAAAAACCTGGCAAGACTGGGTATATTCCTCTAATTATTTTTAGAATTGGTAAGGGTAGCAAGTAGTTCACTAACACAAAATAGTTGGATCCTTAACTTGCAAGCAGTATATAATAAAAATAAGTCATCTGAACTAAAGATGCTTGATATGTATGATTAAGAAAAAGAAATCCCACATTCAAAACCATTTTCATTTTTGTGTTATCTTTGAAAGAAAAAGAATTGAATTGTTTGATATGTGCATACCCTGACTTTGGGAATGAATTACCTTACTTTTACTTTCAGATGTTTTTGCGAACATGTGCATTTTCTTGGAAAACGAATCTGACATGCCATGTGCATCTTGAGATTTTAACCAGTTAGAGAAAATTTGACGAGCTTTCATTTGAGGACGTGTCCCATCCTTCAATGAAAATTAGGGGAGAAGCTGTGTGAGAAAACATTAACATTGTTACATATGGGAAATGTATTAGTGGACTGTACCCAGACTGATGGATGTTGACCCTCTAAAATGTGGAAATGAGCTTCTACACCAGACAGGAATTTGTGGAAAAACTTTGAAAAGGCAAGACTGATGGATGTTGACCCTCTAAGATGTGGAAATGAACAGCCACAGTGAGACAGGAATTGGTGGAAGCAACTAGAAAAGACAAGACTGATGGATGAGCTTCCCAACAGCAAGACTTAACCCTGTGGAGGACTGTCACTGATCAGGTATGTGACATAATCAATGATCCAACATCTTTTTTTGAAAAAGTACAGCAAAAAGATATCATCTTAGAGCTATATAATATTTCACTAAGATATGTCTGTTCTTTTTATCAATTTCTGTTTATACTTACCCAGATAGATGCTGAAGTATTAATTTCTATGTTATAGTGTGCTTTGATGACAGTACCCAGTAGAAGACTCAGCTAAAGTCATGTGGATGTGCTTGACATTATGAATGACAAGGAGTCCTCAGGTATGGAAATAAGTCACCCAAGTATGCCATTCTGTAAGACTGTTCTTCATTTTACTTCATTGATCCTATTGGTTAATTACCTTTTTTTCTCATTCATTGACAGAAAATAAAAGTATTGAGGCATATCCTTGTGGTCGCATGTGGAGAAAGACAAAGATAGATGACCATGTAGAAAGCCAGATTTGTACACACAAGCATATCCAGTTTACGATGTTATAATCCAAAACAATTTTTTTTGAAACATTTGTTTTGGAAATGGGTGTCTGAGTTGTAAGAGGGTATGGGGTCACCCACTCAGACACGTGGGTTTTCTCCGGGGGCTCCGGTTTCCTCCCACACTGACCCCATTGTTTTTCTCTGTGCCAATGTAAATATCTTTTATTATCTATTAATTGTTTTGCTCTAATGTTATTTTATGTAATTTGTTATATTTTATATTATAAAATGTTTAGATGAAGTAGTTGAAAGCTAGTTGTAAGTAGACCTTGTCGATACCCTGGGGCATTACTGGTTGGAACTTCGTGGATCCTTGGCCGCTACGGTTGCCAGGCTGGCCTGGGGAGGAGAGGTTGAAAATGCAACTAGTTGTAGGCTGCTTTGTCTTTAATAATCTGTTTTCATTTTATCTAAAATCATATATGTTGCAGATATAATGATTGTTAAATATTAAATTAGTATTCTTGGAATGTACAAATTCTGTCAGCTACTGTACCAGTAATAATTTGCATAGTAATTCCGATTATTAGCTTATTGTGAAATTGAATGCATTATATACTGACTTAAACTTCAGTAAAAGTAATTGATTATAAATTTTGATGTGAAATTATGATTTGTATTTAATAATGTAAAATAATGGGATTTGAACATGTTAAATTGTGATCTGTTAATGTTAAATTGTGATTTTTGAATGTCAAATTGTGATTGTTTATGTAAAATAGTGATTTGTAATTGTTTGTGAATTTAATGTCTGATTTCATTGTACAAAAAAAGAAAACAAAACAAACAAAAAAAGCCAGGAAAAAAAAAAGAAAAGACAAAAAAAAAAGAAGAAAGAAAAGAAAGAAAAAACATAGTAACAAAAAAAAAACAAACAAACAAACAAAAAAACAAATTAAAAAAAAAAAACAAACCAAAAAAAAAGAAAGAAAGAAAACAAAGAAAACAGATTTGAAAGAAAAAAAATATAAAAAGAAGCAAAACAAAAAGGCACAAAACTTTTAATGCTGCCTGCTTGAATTAACATATTTGCATGTTTTTTCAAGCAGAAGGTTCCAAGCCCTTAAAAGCAGAGGAGAAGTTTTGGTATCTTATGACATATTGACATTACTGAATGTATGCCAAAGAAGATGGGCAGACAATGACAAACAGAATACCTATAGTGCAATGAACATGAAGGTAAAAAATTAAATCTCATTTATAACAAAATTTTCTTTGATATTTCATCTAACATAGTATACTTTATGTAAAATCTCTACAATTTGCAAAAAATCTCACAAAGATTGAAATTATTTGCACATAAAATAGCAAACACACACTAAGGAGGGCAGAACGGATCATTATCTCATACTATTACACAATTTTTCGATACAAGTGGGTTTTTGCTTCATTTTGTTGAAAGTTTATCAAAGGTTGCTTTAAAATATACATTTTTTGGTGAACAAAAAAAAACAACACTTTTATGACACATTTCTTAGTGATTAGCATGTTTAAGTCTCAAAGGAAATTGATACTTAGGATTTTTATTGCTAGGATTAGAAACTCACACTATTTTTAGGTCACCTGAGTCACTCAGGTGACCTATTGCTATCTGTTTTCGTCCGTCGTCGTCCGTCGTGCGTCGTGTGTTAACATTTGAACATTTTCAGCTTCTTCTCTGAAACCGCTGAACCAATTTCCGCCAATTTTTGCATATGGCATTTATGTGTGAAGGGGAACAAAATTTATGAATTTCATGGTCCCTGCCCCCCTGGGGCCTGAGGGGTGGGGCTAAAACCATCAAAATTAATGCAATCTTTAAAAATCTTCTTCTTTACTCCTGGACATCAAGCAGTCAAACTGTTGACATGATTGTAATAAGCATTGAGCCCTCTACCAAAATTGTGAAATTCATGGCCCCAGGGTCAGGGGTTCTAGTGCTAGGGCGGGGCTATATAGATCATATAGTGAAAGTGCATTATTTCTTTGAAAATTTTCTTCTCTACTCCTGAGTATTATTGAAACAAATTGAATACATAGTTATGATAAGCAAGGGTGACTCTACCAAAATTGTGAAATTCATGGCCCCAGGGTCAGGGGTTCTGGTGCTAGGGTGGGGCTATATAGATCGTATAGTGAAAGTGCATTATTTCTTTGAAAATCTTCTTCTCTACTCCTTGGTATTGTTTAAACAAATTAGATACAGAGTTATGATCAGCAAGGGTGACTCTACCAAAATTGTGAAATTCATGGCCCCAGGGTCAGGGGTTCTGGTGTTGGGGGGGGGGGGGGGCTATATAGATCATATAGTGAAAGTGCATTATTTCTTTGAAAATCTTCTTCTCTACTCCTGGGTATTATTTAAACAAATTAAATACATAGTTATGATAAGCAAGAGTGACTCTACCAAAATTGTGAATTTCATGGCCCCAGGGTCAGGGGTTCTGATGTTAGGGCGGGGCTCTATTTATTATATAGTGAAAATGCATTAATGCTTTAAAAATCTTCTTCTCTGCTTCTGGGTATTATTTAAACAAACTAAGTATTGTTATGATAAGCAAGGACACCTCTTCCAAAATTGTGAAATTCATGGCCCCAGGGACAGGGGTTCTGGTGCTAGGGTGGGGCTATATAGCTCCTACAGTGAAGGTGAATTATTTCTTTGAAAATCTTCTTCTCTGCCCCTGAGTACTATTTAAACAAACTAAGTACATTGTTATGATACGCAAGGATGCCTCTTCTAAAATTGTGAATTTCATGGCCCCAGGGTCAAGGGTTCTGGTCAAAAGGTTGGGGGGGGCTCTATTGATTATATAGTGAAAAATCAAAATTTCTTTGAAAATATTCTTTTCTGCTTCTGGTTAAAAAGCAAAGAAGCTAAGTATATAGTTATGATGAGCAAGAGTGCTTCTTCCAGAGTAGTGAATTGCATGACCCCTGGGTCAGATGTGCTGGTATAAGGGTGGGGCTGTTGATAATGTAGTGAAAATGCATTAATTCTATTAAATAATCCTGTCTGCTCCTTAATGTTAAGCAGTTAAACAAAGTGATTACTTATGATGAGCAAACTTGAAACTTCTGGTCCCAGGGTGAGAGGCTCTGGTGTTTCTCGGTGGTGAAGGGGGGGGGGGGGGGGCTCTGTTGATAATATAGTGAATCTGTAGTGAAAATGCATTATTTCTTTAAAAATCTTCTCAGCACTTGGGCATATCAGAGGCAAAATGTGTAAAAGTTGTAATAAGGAAGGGTATTTTTACCAGATTTTTGAACATCTGGACCATTTGGTCAAGTGTTCTGGTCCTAGCCAGGGCTCAATTAATTTGCATTCTACTGAGAGGAGTTATTCCCCTTTGCCGTTTACTTTTGATAATTAATCACTGTAAATAATGTACTTGAAAAATTAATAGAATAAGAGAATTATGCAAGAATTTTTATTGTATAATACAAAAAGTATTTTCATAGTTTTAATGATCATGTGGACTTGTAAGTAATAGATGAATAAAAATGAGACAAAAATAACTTGTCTTATTAAATGTTCATCAAAGACCAAGAGAGGCCAATGTAAGAGATTACAACAAGGAATTAAAACAGTACAAAAGCACTGATAGTTTGTTAATATACTGTATGGTGATAGTGATAAATGGGGAACAGATTAGAACCTAATTTATGAACTGTTAATGAATAGTAGACTAATTATTTTGTTGATCCTGATCACCCTATTTTTCTTGCTTTTGGGCAACAAAGCTTCACCTTTCATTTCATTTTAATACTCTATGGATCCTCTAAATTGTTGCATTGTACTCAGGTGACTGTTAAGCCCTTGGGCCTCTTGTTTATTTGCTGAGAAAATTTTCATCAGAAAAGTTTTGTTTATCATATAATTTCATAAATTTCAAATATTGTGAACTTTACACTAAAGACTTAATTCACAAATTGAATATGATTTGTATATATCTGAAGCTATAGGCATTCTGCACGCCATCATGTTCACCCATCTCGATCCTTAATGTTGACACAGCTGATCATGATATTTTTTCAATCATTGGAAAATATCAATTAATTTGATATGTATAATGTATCAATTCAAATAATTAAAATCTCTTTAAAAAAGTACTCATAATGGTCTCTTCAATTCTGATTTTTTAATGCAGTATTTTGTTGAAATGAGGTGCAAAATCATAATTTCCAAATGCAACTTTGTTGCTTTCTTCAAATGGATTCATATCAAAAGTTGAATTTATGCATGCACAAATTAAAAGATATAGGCCACAATGCTCATCCTAGTTACATTGATCCTGCTGTTCTTGAGAGATTTTTAAAAACATACTTAGCTAGGTCTCATCTGAGTTGCTTCGACTTTTGACATTACTATTTACTAGTAGTATGTTTAAAATCCAGTTTTAAAGAAATTGTTTTAGATATTTCAATCAAACTAATACACTAATATGTGAGTAGTATTTAACTGTGACATAATTTGCTGACATTAACCTTCCTTGTGACCTTGAACTACATGTACTTGTCCTAATGTTAAACATAGAGGAGGGTACTTTTTTTCCATGTTGCATAATTAATGAACCCTAGCTGGGGCATTCATGTCCTATGGACATATTTCTAGTTTTAGATTTTCTCCTATGGGGCCACGTTTTGAATAAATCACACGGGGATAAAATCCATCTATCATAATGCTTTGCTGTTCTTAGGAACATAATTTTTATTCCAACTATTATCCCTAATTGTGGCCTAATCCTTTCCCATGGGGCCATGAATTTGAACAAACTTGAACCCTTACTACCTGAGAATTTGTGCATATTACTAAACATGTCCCAGCTGTTCTTGAGAAGAATATTTAAAAAAAAAAATTAAATGTATAGAATATGTTATAATCTAGCTACTATTGTGCCTTCACCCAGGTACACCAGGGGACCATGATTTGCACAAACTTGATTCGGCACCAAGGATCCTTGCATTATTAATATCACTATAATCATGGCCTTGTTGTTGCTGAGAAGATTTTTAGCTCATCTCAATGAAGTTGGGGGGGAGCTTATGCAAAGGAATGACCAGTTTGATGTTTCTGAAGCAGGTTAAAGTTTTTGGAGCAGGTCTCATTTACCATGTGCCCCCCCCCCCCCCCCAATAATTTTGCCGATGTATAGATTACTATAGAAAACATAGATACTATATCCCTGTGCCCCCTCAATAAAAACGTCTGATGACATTTTTTTTTTTTTTTTTTTGCTTGTCAAGAAATTTTTGGTAGTTGATAGCGCCCCCTCAACTGAAAATGTATGGCTGTGCCCCCCCCCCCAAACTGAAATTGCTTCCTACGGGCCTGCATTCTAAAGAACTATTTGTCCTACTTGGACCAAACTTGCATGTATGATACATGTAAGGATGCACACTGTTGGACTAGCTTCGGAATTGCTGAATTTGACCTATATTTTTGGGATAAGCAACTAGGTTTTTGGAGCAGATTCATTCTAAAGTGTCTATTTGCCCTATACTAACCAACTTTGCATTGAAGATACATTAATTTTATTGATGCACACTACCAGAGTTGCTTTAGATGCAGGATTTGACCTACATTTTCCAGATGAGTGCCCAGGTTAAAAGTTTTTGACACAGGTCGATGACCATGAA